GTTGGGTTTTGTACTTTGGAAATACACGATCAAAAGTTAGCTGTCATGGAGGACCTTCTCTTCAAGAGCAGAAAGGATATTTAAAAGGGATTTTCGCTCGTTGTTGGTAGGATTTCAAGGGAATATTGGGCCTTGAACTACTGCCGTCGGAGCATATCATGATCGCTCAAGTATACTTTCTCATCATTGAAAGTGGCAGACGCAGTTCTCGTGAGCTATGCTGGCTGTGATGCTCCATTTCATGGCAATACTTCACGTGGCAGCGGTTACTCGTCTGAAAAGTTGCCTCACTTGGTTTAGAAGTTCTATCGCTGTTCTTTGATTTATCCTCACCTTCAGCATGATATCATTTTTGGGCTTTGAACTGCATGTACGAGGGAAATACTCGATTAGAAAGAGCCGGAAAACGAGATTTCGCGCTTCCTCGACTCTAGCTGGTGGAGGAGGTGAATTGATAATCTAGTGAAGCGTTAAACATAGTGCAGTTAATAATGAAGATCGTTATTCAGTTGGTATCCATGAACCATGAGGTTATAGGTATAGGTTATAGGAAAAATGAGAAGCTAATTGTTCTCCCGTTGCATGGTTTTGAGGTGACCCTAATACCTTTTCGCTATAGTGATATGTGGGACTTCTTCCTTCACTTTACGATACTTTTCCTAGTTTTGTTCATCCCTTACCTTCCATTCATATGAAATTCATTCTCACACTCCTTTCTTCCTCTCTGCATTTACTGAAGAGCCCAAATGGAGGAGAGTTTGTCGTTCATTTCTCGTCTGAGGGCACGTGCTAAACAGGAACTGAACTATATCCTTGATACTTCCACCCCCTCCCCTCGCCCAACATATAATTTGGACGTATTAGTCTTATTATCTTTCCACTCTATTCAATATTTCAAGAGATACATACGAAAAATCGCTGGATTTATCTTAACACTAGGACTTACGAAGGAATTTAGGAAGCAGTATATGGAAAAACTGTCTGTACCAGCATATATTAAGGTTTGAGCGATCATGTTCCCAGCGCTCTGTTCAACATATTTGGTCTTCCTCCTTAATTTCGTTGTCAAATAGTCGCTGTATTGGATTCAAGAATAGTTTCACTTTCCACATTCATTCATGACGTCTCTTTAAGGAATGTCAAAGGAGGTGAGATTGTGCGGCATGCTCAGCTTTCGGACGGCATGGTCTTGAAGTTTTACAAAGCTCCATTCGTAAGTTTCTATTAACTTTTAGTTATTGCACTTTTACGGATTTCAGCTGCCTTTTCATCATTAAATCATGAGTCATGAAAAGCATGGCTTAGTAACCGTCAGTGTTCA